CAACTTTAAACAAAAGGTTAGGATGGAAACTCCTATCACTATTAAAATGAACAATAACAATTAGTGAATTTGAGAAGCCTATTTTCCTGCAAAACTTTTTAAGAGAAAAATTTTATAAATTACAGCCACAAAAGCTAAGTAGGGTATTACAAGATAGAAAAGTTTCATTGGAAACAAAGAAAAGAGTACTGAACTGCTAAAGAAAAGAGTACTGATCTACTGAAGAAAAGAGTACTGAACTGCTAAAGAAAAGAGTACTGATCTGCTAAAGAAAGGAGTACTGATTTGCTAAGGAAAAGAGTACTGATCTACTAAAGAGAAGAGTACTGATCTACTAAAGAAAAGAGTACTCAACTGCTAAAGAAAAGAGTACTGATCTGCTAAAGAAAAGAGTACTGATCTACTAAAGAAAAGAGTACTGAACTGCTAAAGAAAAGAGTATTGATCTACTAAAGAAAAGAGTACTGAACTGCTAAAGAAAAGAGTACTGAACTGCTACATAGAAGTTCAGTACTCTTTTCTGTCCTCCTTTATGGCAGTGAATGTTGAACAGTCTCCTCAAAGATGAAGAAGCGACTTGAGGCAACAGAGGTATGGTTCTACAGAAGGATGCTAAGAATACCATGGACCAAACATGTGAGCAACATCGAGGATTTGGAGAGAATGCAAACAAAGAGGAAACTTATACTTAACATCAGGGAGAGGCAGCTGAAATTTCTGGGACACGTAATAAGAAAGGAGGGCTTGGAAAATCTGATATGCACAAGGTTGGAAAGAGGGATAAGGGAAAGCAATGTATGACATAATGGACTTGAGCAGGTGGATGGCAGGACATGGTCTGGAAGAAATAACAAAAAAAACAAAACTTATTGAGAGCTACAAGGTGCAGGAGGCAGTGGAGTGCCATGATCGCCTACATCCCGAAGGGACACAGCACATAAAAGAACATAGTAATGCTAACTTTTTATTTAATGAATGTCAAATGTTTCCTGTACTGGAATGGCAAAGGTACTCGGATATTTGGCTGATGGATATTTAGTCAATGGACATTTGCTTGTCAGCCAAATGTCCAGCCATGAATAGCAAATCCCATCATTTATCATATTATACAGTGAAAATTTCAGAACAAAATTCAGTTAATGATTGTGTCAGGCTATAGACTTATTGATTGACCCTCATATATTTCCATTTCTTTTATTATATTATTACTTATTATTATTTTATTATTTTATATTATAGAATTCTTTATCTGATAAAATATTTCCACTAGAAATGCTGCAATAGCCACTACATTTAAACCAATCCTAGAGGTTTTGTGTGTAGACTGTCCTGTTGAGTGACATGTCACTTTAGGACTACACCCTCCACATTCATCTTCCTTGCTTGTCATCCAACCAATCAGTTTAGTTTTTCAATCTGTAGAAACAAAATCCCAAAGCTGACCTGTCACTCATTCACTTCCCATCCTCACTATATTCTGTTTGATGACATATTTATTTTTCCAGCCTAAGGTCAACTTGCAGCCATGACTTACATTTTAACACTGACAATTTCTGTGATAAACTGCAGCCTTACTAAGTGGTAACCAGAGGAGTGAAATTTACTGTTACCCTCATGTACTTAAACTAAAATGTCTCCCTAAAATGTGATGAAAGAGAATTTTATTAAATCTCGAGACTTATAACTGAAGCCACTGTTTTCTAATTGGTTAGTGAATTTTAAGATTACTTAATATTAAAATCAAATACTTTACATAGCAATTCTCTGAAAAGCGTATTTCATTTTTTTTACTTAGAGCTTTGTTTGCTGGTTTTAGTAGAGGTAGTTTTTTTTTTTTTAAATGTTCATTACTCATGAAGAAACTTATCTACAGAGATAAAATTTAAATTCAGCATTATTTCATTGGAAACTGTGGGATCACTCACATCATACCAGCAATGATAGCCTTGTGTTCACAAGAAATAAAAACATACACAGAAATAACATTAAAAGCATGTTAAATTCTTAATTAAAATCATATAATTTATTTTTGTATACTGGTGTGTGTTTATTTTTTTTAATCAATGTCACCCCAAGTAAGGCAGTAAAGCCACTAACATGCAAGGGGTTACAGAGTGTGAAGGAATTAGGAAGAGAGCCATTAGCAAAAAGAGAAAAGTGCAATCAGGAGGACAGTAGATAGTGATTGACATTGCATTTAAATTCTTGCAGATTAAAGTTGACTGAAAAGCATGGAGCTAGATGGGAGTTCTACAAGCGAGAAGTGCGAGAAAAGAAACTGTTAGCATAGAAGTTATGGTTACATCTGGACAGCTCAATAAGATCTCACTGCCAGTCTAGTATTGTGCTTAAATTCATACAGTCTACGTACTATACCAGAGTTCATCTCAAGAGTTACCATGAAAATGTTTCTAAAAAAGGCACAGAGTTATTTTAGTTACAAGTCTTTTAAAGTTGCATGTGGTAAAAGTAAGAAAGTCACTTTGTATTATAACAAGAAATGGTAAGTTGTGAAAGAGAGTATCAGCATCATTTGGTATGAAGTCTGGTTTCCAACAGGAAAAGTTTCTGTTGCATACTGGAAGAACTTTTTTTTTGTTTATTTTATTTTAAACAAAGTTTTAATGTTATTTGTTTTATTTTCTTTTATTTATGATATTTATTATTATTATTTTATATTTTTTTTAATAATAATAATAATAATAATATAATGTCTCTACAAAACAAAGAAAAGAGTGTTTAATTCCTAGGCAATATCAGTCCTAATGCTGAAGAGTTTCCCCACAGATGAAGGGGAGACTTGAAGCAATGGAGATGCAGAAGGATGCTGAGAAAAAATATTTAAAAAAATAAAGATAAGTCAAAATGAAACAGTTTCTGTTTCAAGTAAAACTGGTCACACTTGCCTGCACACACTGAAGCTGCAAGCAAGTAGCGGCATCACTCATCAGCAGGCAGATTAGGTTTAAGGCTTCAAATTCACTACAGTAACTTGTCTGATGTGATCAGATTAAAACATTGTCATGAATTTGGTGATATATTAATTATAAGTTCAATCCCTGGGTCAGACAGATATACTTGGACTCAGGTGAAACAGGGTGAGCAATACTAACACATGGCACAGTGGATAAAGATAACTGATAACTAACATCCATTAAAACATGGCACATGGAACTAGAACAGTCTACCCCAGTGAGCGAAATAAAGGGTTCAGTTTGACATTCCAACCACCTGAAGAAGGCCAGGGTGTACAACGGCTGAAACATTGTAATAAATATGGCGACAAAGATGAGAACAAAAGTCCAAATAATGTAAATAGGGTACGTAATACCTCATCTCAGAAATATAGACAGATACTGACAAAGGCTGGAGCGTACAATGACCGAAACATTGTGATAAATATGGTGACAAAGATGAGGACAAAAGTCCAAATAATGTAAATAGGGTACGTAATACCTCATCTCAGAAATATAGACAGATACTGAAGAAGGCCGGAGCATACAACAGCCGAAACGTTGTGATAAATATGGCAACAAAGATGAGGACAAAAGTCCGAATAATGTAAATAGGGTACATAATACCTCATCTCAGAAATATAGACAGATCCAGTACTAAAAATAAGAACCAGATATGGGCAGTGGTACAAAAACAGTGTACCCCCATAGATTAAATAAAAGGTTCAGTCCAGAATTCCCTGTAAGTTACACAGATCAATATAAACCTGAGGAAGTCTGGAGGACACAACGGCCAAAACATTGTGGTAACAACAAAGATGAGGACAACAGTCTGTGTGTAAATAATGATAAGTCCTCATTTCAGAAATTCAGACAGAAATTATCTTACCAATTATTTTCAAGTTAAAATTTTTCACAATTTCCAATCCTCCAATGAATTTACAACAGTTTGTTTCTCTTTTGAGTCGATATCTTTATTTTTTTCTTCCATAACAATCTTTATATATCTAAAATTAAAAAATAATAATAATAATAATTCTACTTCTACCTGTCTTGTCTCTTCCGGATGTTAGGTGATCATGGCTCATTATATATATTTACATTATGGTAATCAACTTTTATGTTGGATCATGAAATCTCACACCCTCAAATAAATTATTATAAAAATTTCTAATAGTACAACTATCATAAGATGAAATTCATATAATCTATTTATCATATAGATATAAGTAGATTCTTAAAGTTATATCAACATTGGCTGGTTAATTTGAATTTTATTCTGAAAACTTTGACTTTCATAATAAAAACTTACATCGTGTAATTATTATGAAAGCATATTTTTTTAATTTGTGTTATATAAGGACTCTGTCACTGATTCTAACATATCATTTCCCAACAATTCTAACATACAAATGCCTAACAATTCTAACATACAAATGCCCAACAATTCTAACATATGAATGCCTAAGAATTCTAACATATGAATGCCTAACAATTCTAACATACAAATGCCCAACAATTCTAACATATGAATGCCTAACAATTCTAACATACAAATGCCTAACAATTCTAACATATGAATGCCTAACAATTCTAACATATGAATGCTGAACAATTCAGTTCTTGGAATTGAACTGCTAGATTACAAACAAATATTATTTGATGTGAAGGCTTGTGTAGAATAAAACAACCTTTTTGGAATTTTGAAATAACAGAATTGGTGCAAAGTGTGCCCCAAAGAACCCTTATCAAACTCGTGGTCAACCAAGCCCAGTCTACCTTACTATTTAACCCATAACTGGAGGGAGATAGATGGCTAAATACCTTCTTGTTTTTTAACCATTTTACACCAAGCAAGACAATAAAGCCACTAAGACACAGGGATTACTGAGTATGAAAGAATATGAGGAAAAAATATTAAGGAGAGAGAATAAAAGATCAGAATTTAAGAAGATAGAAGATAATAATTAACATTTCAGTTAAATTTTTTGAAGATCAAAATTGACTGGAAATCAAGAAGCTAGAAAAGACTTCCACAAGAGAGAAATGCGATAGAAGAAACTGTTAGCATAGAACTTACGGTTACATCTCGCCATTTCAACTGTAAAATGATGAGACCTTGCTGCCAATCTAGTACTGCACTTAAATTCGTAAAATTCTGATACCAAAGAAGAAGGTTCATCAGAACAATTACCTTGAAAATATTTATAGAAAAGGCACAATAATGTTTAATATTTAGAAGACTGGTTACCCGAGTCTATAAAGCAGGGCCAGTGCAAGGGTCTTGTGGGCCCCTGGCTCCCGAATCTATGACATGAAGCACCTGCTCTACTACATCTCAATTTTCATAAGGTAGTATTTATATAAAATACAAATTTTATTGTCACCTAATACAATAATCTATCATATTGAACTCACCTGTATAATAATTGATCATATGCAATACAGGTGAAAAATTAAACTAGAAAAAATGAAAATAAATATAACATATCCAAATACAAATTAGAGACATGTCATAATAGATCATTCCATCTTAAATAAATTCACAATGTTTTACAACTATTTTTAGCATCAGCTTGAGATTTTTCTTGTTAAAATGTTGAAAAATTTAACATGTTCAACATTATGGGTAAAAAATAGTGAATTTTGTATATGTATTTTCTAGACTTAGCATGAACAAAACAAATTCACCGATATGAACAAAAACAAAGAAAAAACCCAAAATGATATCAAAATTCACAAAGATTTTTCATCCTTTAATAGTCAATTGTATTTAGTTTAATTTGTAACGTATATAAATAGAGGTAGAAAAAAAAGCAAATGGTGATAGCAAAAGCATTGCCCTGCACACCTGATCAGGCCATGATTGTACACACCAGCCCTCCTATAAGAGTCAGTGTCTTTTCTGTCAAAATAAAATTTTTCAAGTGTTTTACCTGTATTTTCAATTACAAAACAATTCACAGGTAATAATGCTCATTTAGCTTTCATTGGGATCAGGTGGGCTTCTAAAAGAATCGTTAATTCATTTGTGATAAACCCCAAAAAATTCATGAAAAAAATTAGTAGATCTGGAATACAAATATTTCTTATTGTTTTAATGATAGATACATTTATCATTTAATGTAGATATAGATATATATACATACATACATATATATATATATATAAATATAAAAGTGAACATAGAAGTCAACACTTAGAGGTAACAGTCTGTTTCATGCTATATGCAATTGTCAGGCCATATAGCATGAAACAGACTGTCGCCTCTAAGTGTTGACTTCTATGTTCACTTTTTATATTTACACACACTCTATCTCTGATATCGAGCACTTTATCCCATAAATATAGCACACCTTAAGACTATATTTCTTTCATATATATATATATATATATAAATATATATATCATCTAGTATAAATAATGTATATTTTATATATATATTTATTTATCATTAATATATATTTATATATATATATATTATCTAATATATATGTATATATATTTAACATCTAATATATATATATATATATGTGTCATCTAATATATATATATATATATATATATATATATATATAATATATAAAATATGATAAATATATATATATATATATATATATATATATAATATTATATAAATAAATATGGAAGATTTAAGTTTAAAGATAGTAAAATTGACCTTGCTAACTGAACACTCCTCTGTGGCCAAATTGGTTAAAGGCACATCAAGCTAAATAACAGTTCCATATAGGATACAAGTTTGAATCCTGTTGGAGGATGCATATTTTCTGTGAAAATTTCTCGGATATATTATTATTTATTATAAACAGAGCATTTACTTAAATATTTGTATCTATAAAAAGAATGTATAAACATAAAAAATGTCTTAAAATAATTTGTCGGATTTTGTCCATTTCATAATGTATATATATATAAATTTTAAGACATTTTTATATTTATAGATTCTTTTTTATACATACAAATATAAAAATGAAATAAAAATAAAAAATATAAAAAAACAGTAAAATCAAACTTGCTAACCAAACCATTCCTCTGTGGCTAAATTGGTAAATCATGTCCGGCTATATGACGGTTTCGTGTAGGATACAGGTTTCATTCATGTCGGAGGTCGCATATTTTCTATGAAAATTTCTCAGACATTCAGGCCAGTAAATGTTGTTTAATACTGTTTTTTATAAACAGAGCATTTACTTAATTATTTGTATCTATAAAAAAGAATGTTTAAACATAAAAATGTCTTAAAATAATTGTTGAACTTCGTCCATTTCATAATATTATATATATATATATATATATATGTCATCTAATATATAATGATGTTATTGTAGAGGGGGTGGGATTGTCATTTTAGTTTAAAACAATATTTTCATAAAAATAATTACTGAAAGGAAATTACATATTTTCTCTCTCTTTATCTTTCTTTTCCCACTCCCTGTTCTTCCACTGTCTTTCTTTTCTTTATTTCTCTTTTTACAATCTTTTCCTCTATCTTTCCTTTCTTTACACTTTTTGTTTTCCGTTTCATATTTTCTTCACTCTCTCTTTTTCTCTTCTTCTCTATAAACTCTATAATCTCTTTTCATCTAGAAGAAATATCATCTAGCTTTCTTTTCTCATGTTATACTGTCTTTCTATCTCTCTCTCTCTCTCTCTTATTTCTATCTTTCTGCACTGTCTCTCTCTTTTTCTCTTTCTTTCACGTTTGTTTTTCTCTTTATGCAAAGCATGTCTCTCTTTCTTTCATTTTTTTCTTTCTCTCTTTCTTTCCTTTTTTGTTGTCTACACTTTCTTTCTCTGTCTTTCTGTACCTTTTTTATGCTCTTTCCTTTTTGCTCTTTTCACACTCTCTTTCTGCCTCTCTCCCATTTCTTTGTATCTTTTTACACCCTCATTCTCTCCCTCTCTTTCCATTTTATATGCCCCCACCATCACCACCACCAATTTTAACATCCAAACAGTCTACTGACTTAATAATCACCTGTTGTAAATTTAGAAAATACTTTTATCATTTCTGATGATCCATCACCCCCCACCATGTCAGTTCAGAAAAAAACACTTATAGACATGTGTATTACAAATTGTTTAATCTTTCCCCACACTCCCCCAACCTGAGTTTTTAATAATGAGTTGTGACAAATTAGTTCAAGTGGGAATGAGACATTATTTTTTTAAGTGGCCAAACATGGCTATTTTTTCCTGATACTCAAATCAATTTTTTACAAAATTAGAATCACATGGACAAAGGCAACATTAACACAATTGCTATTTCAGATTTTATTGATAGAAAACTTCCTGCAAAGATAAGGAATACTTTATTCTAAAAAAAAAAAAGTTTTATGTTACTTATTTCACAGATAATAATGTTGTTTAGCATTCTTGGGATCAGGTGGGCTTCTAAAAGCATTGTTAATTCAATCGTGATAAGTGAAAAAAATTCATGAAAAATTTACAAGAGCTGAAATAAAAGTATCTTCAAAATTAAGAAAATAAATTTCAATAAATCAAGATACAGTTACCTTTAGACCAAGGATCCACCAAAATTCTTCAATATGTCATGTCCGTTCAGAATATAGGCAATAATGGCTTCTATCTTTAGAAGCTCTTAGTAATGTTTATCTCTTTGCTAAGCCTCCCACTCCCTGTTCTCCAATCCATTCCCATAAGCTTGTCAAGTCAGCGGCCCACTATCTTCCATTGTGCTTTTTATCTTTGATATGTCCTGAGAGTGACAGATTCTCCAAACCCTCTTTCCTCATTATGTGTCTAAGAAATTTCAGCTTTATCTTTCTGATTTCTTTTTGTTTCCATTTTCCTTAAGATTTTTTGCATTGCTTAATGTGCTACATCCATGGAATTCTCAGCATCCTTCTGTAGGATCATATTTCTGTTGCCTCCAGTCTTCTCTTCATCTGTGAGGAGATTGTCCAGAACTTACTGCCATATAAGAGGATTGATATGACACAGCAGGACTGAAAAGGATCAAGTCCAGCAAGGGAAGAATTGACCTGGATGCGGGACAGGAATCACACCATGGTGGAGCGATCATATACAGATACATATAAATACTCTGTAGCGTAAAAAAAAAGTGCTCAGATCTTTCTTAATATATATATATATATATATATATATATATATATATATGTGTGTGTGTGTGTGTGTGTGTGTGCATATATATATATATTCTATAATTTCATGCATATATATATATTCTATAATTCCAAGAACTTTCAAGTATACTTTTAGCCATTATCAAGGATGATTTTATTTATTCAGTTTAATTGAGTGTGTGTGTTGTGTGTATGTTTTTAGTGTTATAGAGATGTTTTATTTATAAAACATTTAGACAGTTTCTACACACTCTGTGTCCCAAAAAGAAAACACTTGTTCGAACACAAGAAAAATTAAATAAAAAGCTTAATTGCAGTAACTTGTCTGTCGTTTTTAATAAAACATGCATAAATAAAGGATTGCTGCCTAAATACACAATATATATATATATATATATATATATATATATATATATATATATATATATTATAATAAAAAAAAGAACAGTAAGATATATAATCCGGTGTTCTTATTGATATTTTTATTTTACAAAACAGTGCTTAATATAAATTGACAGAGCATAAATATTATAAATTAACTGATTTAAAATATGGTTTCTTCACTACACAGTAATAATCATGTTTCAAAAACCAAAGCTAAAAACTTCAAATTTAATTATATAATTAAATTAAAAGCATTAGTTCTGTTTCATCGTCAAGCGAATTTTGGAATAACATATTTTTAAATTTACTGAGTTTTAAACGCACATAAAAATTCATAATTTACTGTTTCCAAGGATACAGCGAAATCCAATCATTTAGACAGGTATGTAACGTGTTCATTTTTATTAACTATTATTGTATCAGTTATGAGTTACGTTCAAAAAAGAGGTTAATCTAGGTAGGGCAGGGGTGCATTTTTCAAAGAATTTTGACATCCGTTCAACACATGTTGTCTGGTTTTTTTATCAACAACAAAAAGTTTTTTGGCATTTTTTTCCAATAAATTCGTACTTATATACTTAAAGAAACGAAAAATTAAGAAAAAAGTATTTTAAATCAGTTAATTTATAATATATATATATATATATATATATATATATATATATATATGGGAGGTATGTAGAAAAAAGAAAAAAGAACACGTTAGGTAAGTAGTCCAGAGTTCTTTAGTATTTTTGTTTTTATTTTTAAAAAACAGTGCTCCATACAGAAGTAGAGCTTAGATTATAATTATTTTTTTAAAAATATGATTCCTTCGCTACATAAGGATTCTCATGTTTCAAAAACATATAGACATATGTATATATGACATATATATATGTCTTGTCAGTAGTAATGCCAATTTTATAACACACAACATCCTTTTCCACTGGTATTTGGCTATAAAATATCACTATGCAATACAGGAAGATGGAACAGGCAATGGGAAACCCCTACATATACTCTCCTAAGTATTCATAGCAATACACAGATAACAAAGAAAGGGAGAGAACACATGGCAAACCATGGCTGCCTACATACTGAAGTGACATGGCATTTTAATAAATATACAGTAACCCCTCAGCTACACCCAGAACTGTTGCTTCAATAATTGTTATTCATAATCTTTTGTAATTAAAGTTGCAGATATGCTGCTAATATCATATCTGTTACAAGTAAAGAAATTACTGCCAAGGGTGAGCAAACATTTGAAAACAAGTCCCTTATTTTTCTTTATCTGGTAAATGCGTTGTCACAATTAGCAACAATTTAATGTTTGACATTTTAACTTGTAGTTCTATTCTCTATCCACAGAACTACACCCACAGTATTTGTGATGTTTACTTAAAGGTTGTAGTTTGCTTGCTTTCATGTCTTTAACCAACACTCATTTGAATATTTTCTTTTATTTACAAAACCTGCTTAAAATAGTTTTGATTTGACATTATTATTGTCAATTGTTATCTTCTTGTTTGTTTTTAATTTCCTTTATGATTGTTCTGATCTCTGTTCAATTATTTCCCAATTCCCAGTGGATTCTTATAACTTTATTATTATTATTATTATAGCAATTTTGATATACTTTTATATATTTATATATCAGAAATTCAAAAATAAATATGAATAACTAAAATAATATATATATATATATATATATATATATATTTAGCTGATTGATGTTACTTTATCAACCTGACTCCAGAGTTTCATAGATGGACCCTCCAGGAGTCATTCCACCCAATTGTCAGTGGGTATAAGCAATTGATTGCTTATACTTCACAATTTTTTTTTTTTTATATGCACTTTTCATGGGTGCAATTTTTCATAGTGTATGTGTATGTATTTGTGCACATGTAGCCATACACCCATCTATGCATATGTGTGTACACATAGAATGTTGTGATAATTTTCGTCTTTTCATTATTTTTTTTTATTTTACACTCACTATTTATTAGTTTTTTAGCTTTTCTATCTTTTTTTCTTTTAACTCTTTTTTTTCAATTGTAGCCATTTTGACTTTGGGTTTTTTAGACATATGCTGTTGTTGTGTGTGTATATATATATATATATATATATATATATATATATATATATATGTATGTGTGTGTGTGTGTGTGTGTGTGTGTGTGTGTACTAGTGTTGTTTTAAAGCATTTGTTAACAATGGTCCAATAATATATTCAGGAATTTTTGCAATACATTTATCAAAATAATCAAATGAATAATATAGAAAATTGTGTCCTGAAGATGACAATTTGAAATTGTTGAAAGTGCTTGGCATGTGTCTTCCATCTGACAACAACTTGAATATAAGAATCTTATTATTCAAGGAATTGATAGTAACTTAATGTCTCATTAAGTACTGTTAGCAAAGTTATTTCAGCATTAATCACATTAACATTGCTATTTAATTCTTTTGTATAAATTGTTTTTTTATGATATATATATATATATATATATATATATATATATATATATATATATATATATATATAAAAGGAAGAGGTTATAGTAGTTTCAACAAGAGAAAAGTGTGTATATTTAAAAGAAGAGAGAAACCGCAAACGTTTTTGGTTGTAATGTGGATTTTTTTTTTGAATACATTATGCTTTATATTCCATAATTTTGCTACATGGGTTTCCAGTCTCGCAACCATCATCAGGCAAAACATGAAGATTTCCATATATTATTAAAAATAATTAATTTTTTCTTATGTTTTTTCGATGTTAAATATTCTTGATATGAGACATTTTCTTTTTTGTGTGTTAGTGACCCAAATGTCTTTCTTGAACTGGCAGTGAAAAGTTCTGTGTGAAGGGTTATAAAACAATTAAGATTGGTCCAAGAAATGGTGAAGGAGTTATCAGCATTCTTATCTCTTAATGACCCTTGTGTGTTCTTAGATCTATTTCCATTTTCTTGTGTTTTTGTCAGCATGCGTGTATATACATACATAAACACTGTACTATTACCAGGAATTAGTAAACACATTTGTACACATACACACATACACACACACACAAACATATACACACCCACAAACATACACACACTGTCCTATTACAAGGAATCAGTACATACACACACACATACATACATACGTACATACATATACATATACTTCCCAAGTTACATGGAATCAGTATACATACACTCACACATATATTTACACACATTATTACAACCCTAATGAAATAAATTATTACCTGATGAATTTTTAGTGTTTGTGCCTTTTAGAAGAATATATATATATATGTATATATATATATTCTTATATATATATATATATATATATATATATATATATATATTTTTACAACCCTAATGACATAAATTATTACCACATGACGTTTTAGTGTTTGTATCTTTTATAATAATAATTATTGCTCTGTTTCTGATATGGCACTCTCCCTGGGTTTATATCCTTTTGGAAACATCCATACTGGTCACTAATATCATTATATTATCATTATATATATATATATA